CGTACATTCATTTTGTTTTTGAATCAAGAAGAAACAAAACACAATTATACTTACGAAATTCACAATTTATTACCCAAAAAAAGTGATTTACACAAAGGCATCTGAAGGATAAAAGCAGACACGTCTAGCGAAAAGGGGAAAAAGGGGGGGGGGGGGGGCATTGTTGAAATATTGTGATAATACACTGACAAACAGTGAATGAAGCCGCGTGTCTTTAAAACGTGCGGTTATAACACACAATGACACACTAACACACACACACACACACACACACACAGAGAGAGAGAGAGAGAGAGAGAGAGAGAGAGAGAGAGAGAGAGAGAGAGAATTGAACAGTTATTTGTTAATCATTGTCAATCACCTGAAACCGTGTCGATATAATATGAAGACATACAATGACTGAAACAACGCATCTCTAAAACATTGTTTGAAGCAACACACACACACACAGAGGGCGGGGGGAAGGGGGAGAGAATAAATGAAAACGCATATTCGAAGCTTGTAGAATAAAGCGTTCATAGAGTTAAATAAGCACCCGTTAATAAAACAATCTTACAACACATACGCATATATATATATATATATATATATATATATATATATATATATATATATATATATATATATATATATATATGTGTGTGTGTGTGTGTGTGTGTGTGTGTGTGTGAGTGAGTGTGTGTGTTGGCTGGGATGTCCCTAGTGCAGCGATATATATATATATTCCACACTATATATGTGTGTGTGTTGGCTGGGATGTCCCTAGTGCAGCGATATATATATATATATATTCCACACTATGTGTGTGTGTGTGTGTGTGTGTGTGTGTGTGTGTGTGTAGATAAGATAGAGAAAAGGAATGCATAGAAAGAACTCCCTATGTGGGTTCCGGGGCCTTATTATTGGGGGTGGGGGGGGGGATAGACCCACTGCCTTCACAAAAGCATGTCGTAGGAGTCGACTAATTGGGGGCTCTCTTCGAAATCGGAGGCTGCCTGAGAGGCAAGGACACAATAGTCTGCATACAAATAAGCCAGATATGTAAAGCGGGTGCGCACGCAACAACCAGGTTCTGGAACAGGACTGCAGTCCAGAAGTCAGAACTTCCCGCCAGAGTTTACAGCTGGTGAACGCGAAGAAGAAGAATAGAGAGAACGACACAACGCGTATTTGAAACATTTTATGGTCAAACACAGGCAAATACAATGAATGAAACTGACAATAATTAAAACACATTATGTTCCACTACATGCGCATAACTTGGATGAACAACTACATAAATTTCAGAAGTCTATTCCATAAACTTAAATCACAAGGCAAAACTTCTACTACATCCCCAACCCATGAAACACGGAAAGATTAAACTACACGTTAAACAGTTGGCAGAAATGACGGAAATCAGTGACAGCCAAAGACACAGACAACAGGTCTCTTTGGCACTGCGGTCGAGCGATGAGATTATATCAGTAGGCCCTAACTGACGGTAGGCCAGACAGTAGCGCCAGGTTGCTTTGCGATCTACGTCACTGGTTCAGGCAGTTCATAAATCACGTCAGCAGTGACATACAACTTCTTACTTTAAAAAAACTGAACATAGAAAAGTACATACACAGTAAATGCTTACACAAGAAACACACTTTTTAAAAATGGGAACACCTATGTATAAGTATGTATGTGCATGTATACGTACTCAAGTACTTACGTACGAAAACGTGAATCTACGCACACCACTATCTGTGCAGAAGCAAACCGTACATCCATCCATACTTACATAGATACATTTTCGGTACAACTCACTTTTTCGGGTCCAGGGACACTGTGAATGGTCGTTCATTGATGCCTCTTAACTATTCACACACGCTACTTTCTCGTACAGGGGTGTCAGGTTGTATTCATCGCTGCAATCACGCGTGCTCTATATTACAAGAATTCAGCGGTTTCAACGACCTCAGAATTTCTAGAAATGGTCCTAAACCACTCCCAACAGGCTCAGCCTACGTTCCACGAGAGACTGCAACCTGGTTGCCGTGGTTTCGGAAGACATCCTGCCACCCCTGTCACTCAGACTAACGTGTTTGAAGGGTTAAGACGCATAAATGAACGGCCAATCACGGTGTCCCTGGGCCCGAAAACGTGAGTTGTACTACAAATTCTCATATACAAGTACATGCTTACATAGATACATGCGTATATACGCAATTATGTACACATGTACATACATTCCCACATACTCAGGAGTTCAGATGAAAATATTATACATAGTTGTATCTAGGTTTATGTATGTATGTATGTATGTATGTATGTATGTATGTATGTATGTATGTATGTATGTATGTATGTATGTATGTATGTATGTATGTATGTATACGTAGGTACGTAAGTATGTATGTATGTATACGTAGGTACGTAAGTATGTATGTATGTATACGTAGGTACGTAAGTATGTATGTATGTACATGTATGTACATGTATGTATGTATGTATGTATGTATGTATGTATGTATGTATGTATGTATGTATGTATGTGTGTGTGTATGTATGTATGTATGTATGTATGTTTGTATGTATGTATGTATGTATGTATGTATGTATTATGTATGCATGCATCTTTGGGTCACCACATGTGCTATTGTCGTGGAAACAGGAAATAAGCTCGAGAATCCTAACTAACCTGATAATTATATCTGGGACTCCTTGTAAGATTTAATAGTTCCTAATGTCTGAAATGCATTGATGTGAATTTTAATGGTAGCATGTTTTCCCCCAGTGCAGGTGAGAAGCGCATTGTTTCATTACTTTCTTGGCGACGCTGAATCGGGTTTTAATGGTATCGATGAAGAACGATTCATTTGAGATTTTCAGCTCAAAATATTCGTGGAATGTCACGTTTGCAGCTCAAAATAGTGGAATGTCACGTTTTCAGCTCAAAATATCAGTGAAATGTCATGTTTCCAGCTCAATATATCAGTGGACTGTCACGTTTTCAGCTCAATTTTAGTGGAATGTCATGTTTTCAGCTCAGTACATTGTAGTCGCCATATGTAAGGATGTAGGCATATGTTCATGCACTCTTCTCGCATTCATAGATGAACAGATACATGAGAAACGTGCGGATGGATTTATGGATGATCGATAGCAAGGATGGATGACCATGCATTCATGAACGGATGGATATATGCATCCATGTAAGTATTTTTCGCACTTGTATAATCCATTTAGCCTAAATGTTGATTTTATAAACCACTTTAGTACACTAACGAATTTGAACGGCATATAGTATCAGGGGAAAATGTCGGCTCTGTGGATAAGTAGATGCGAACGCTTCGTAATGCCGGGATGCCATGTTCGATCCCGGCTGCGGGCCATGCGCCTTGCGTTGGTTTCGTCAGTGGTATCAAGAAAGCCGACCGCCCAGGAGGCAATGGCAAACTACTGGACGTAAATTTGTCTAAAAAAACCCACACAACAGCCAGGGGCTGATGGGGGTTGGTTCTACAACGTCCTGTAAAGGATACGCAACTAACCTAATCAGGTAAAAATAACTGACTGCTTTTGTTATATATGCAATTGTATCAATGAAATTAAATTTGGTTAATTTCCTTTTTTTTAACGATAGTATCAATTTAAATCAATGGTGCTTTATTAATATCCTACCCGAAAGAAGGGAAATACACAGGTCACGGGACAGTCTAATTTTTCAGGAGGTGGCAGATAGGCTGCATGCAGTCGTAGGACCTAGGCTGCACTCTCTCGTGGGACGTAGGTGGGTTGGGGTTAGGGCTAGTTCTAGATGTTTTGGGGTCGTTAAACGCATCAGAAAGCCGGGAAACCCAGTTTTACCATCCTCTAAAATGTTGGACTGTCCTGTGACTTCATATAAGGGTACGATATTAATAAAGCACCATAATAATTGAAGCCTTTCTTTGCTATAATAGACTCATAGTAAAATATCTGAAAAATTGTGTGTGTGTTGGTAGTATCAATTTAATATAAATGGATATTTTCTACATTACGGCAGTGATATTTAAATAACAAGCTTTTTTTTTTCCTTTAGAATAGTATAGGTTTGATAATTATTTACAGAAAACTTCAAAATAGAGGTCAATTAAAGGCGTGAGCCGACGCATACCAAACTGAACGTAGTTTTAGCCCTTTGGGGACTACTGTGCCGATCTATTGGCCAGACAGCAAAATAGACGGCTGGTCTGTGTTCGCATTTAAAATGAACCCACATATTTATTAACTTCAGTCTTGTTTGTCCTAAGTCAAGAAAACTTTCATACGTAAATATGCAAATTAACAAAGCTAATTTAATTAGCTGTCAGTTTCCTACAAGAATATATATAGTTTCATATATGTTAATTGTCGGCTCTGTGGCTAAGTCGATGCGAACACTTCGCTTCGTAATGCCGGGATGCCAGGTTCGATCCCAGCTGCGGGCAATGCGCCTTGCGTTGGTTTCGACAGTGGTATCAAGAAAGCCGACCGTCCAGGAAGCAATGGCAAACTACTGGACGTAAATTTGCCTAGAGAAACCACACAACAGCCAGGGGCTGTTAGGGTTGGTTCTGCAACGTCCTCTAGAGGATACGCAACAACCTTATATGTTATTTAAACGATTTACTTTTTCCCCCCATAATTTTATGTGTGGAAATTAAGAGAATCCCCGCCTGAAGGCTCTTTCTTCTTGGCACTGAACTCAAAATAAGACTCCCTTTCCAAAGGGTTAAACAGGCTACAACAAGTTGGAATAAATAAAACCAGGAGATAATACACCCCAGAATAATATTATTAAATTTTAAAATTCCTGGTGACACCCCCCCCCCCCTTTTTTTTCCATAATAAAATAAAACAGCATTTGTGAAGAAGAAAAACAATTGAGTCCCTGCATATTTTGCGGTCTTTAGTTGAAGCTAAGTTATCTTATGCCTAAAACTAGCAATGGTTATTATGTACTGGTCATCAATATGTTTTTATTTCATCTGGTTGCCATAACAAGATCATTTCAAATATTCTCTGACTAAGCTTCCCAGCTTGGACTTGGCCATTTTGTTCTCAAAGAGTTCATTGAAAGCCTCACTCTGCGACACGGTGAACCAGTTTTTCCAATCCCCAACGATACCTTTCCGTAATATGTCATCGGGTCCATTTTTGAAATGGTTGCTACCTTGAATGGACATTTTAGTCCTGCCAAGTTCTGACTTCATGCGAGAAAACTGAGTGACTTCTGCAATCTGTCCTGATAACGTGGTGGGCTGGTTCAAGAATTTACACAGTCTGTCAATCTCAGCTACGGGGTCTTCTTTCATTTTCTCGTAAACGAGGACGAATACCGGGCATTCTTTGTGCTCTTTTTGGAACTCTTCAACAGCAAGCACGTGATCAAACCAGTATCCCCATGGAAATTCGCCAAGCATTTGAAGTTCGAAGAATTCCTCCCAGCCGCCATTAAACTCGCTTCCTGAATGGGACAAACTGCAGACGAACTTGTAGAGAGATACTAGAACATCTTTCGGGTTACGTAAAATGTAGATCAGTTTCGTTTTATTCTGAATAGCTTCTTCTGGGATGTATTGAATTCGGCAGTGTGTGGTCAGGTTTCTGGGGGAGGGGATATTTGCCACGGCCTCAGCAACATTGCAGCCCAGATATTCCAGAATCCTGGAATAGAAATGATCTTTGTGAAAGTCAGTGGTCTGGCTCAGAATCATAGAGACGATCTCGAATGTCCAGTGATTGCCAGAACGGGGGAATCCAATGGTGATGACATCGTCAGCTCTGGTGGGAATTTTGCGCACCAGTTCCAACAAATGCTGCAGATCTTCCTGGAGATCAAATCTGAGATAGTTGACTCCGTCAACCTTCTGCAGCATCATTCTTTCCAACCCTTTTCCTGGTTTCTTTTGTTTGTCTGCTGAATTCATCTGGTTTTGATCGTTCTCCATGGCGAGGAGTCCACTAGGGAATATCTCTGAAAGCAGAAAAGGTAAAAATGTCTCAGACAACTGTCAGTATATTGAAACTTAGGTAACTCTTTTAGACCCAGAAGATTTTCAAGAAGATTCACAAACGGAATAATAACAGCAATGAAAAAAACCCCAATTTATTAATTTCAAAGTGACAATAGATGGGTTACTGTATATTAAAATGTCTGACCAGCTTTCTGTAGTATGCTCAAGCCAAATAATAACGATATAATTATGCACCATCTGGCGTGTGATACACATGAACAATAGCTAATGACATATGCTACGTTTTTTGACACAGAAAGAGTTAATCGGCTGTTATCCTTATAGTCTATCAGACAAGTCTATAAGCGCTTTGATGTTATCTTTAGTATCCCCTTCCGCGTATGGCGAGTGATAACATCAGTTATGTGTTGGTTTACTATTCTTCTTTAGCGACTTGCATAGTGTTTGCGTCTAGCGACACTTCTTTTGGATATGAAGTTCTTGTCGGGTTAAGGTTGCCGATTCATCGTCATCTCCTAAATCATCTACATATCCTGCCTCCTTGAGATAACTGAGAACCTCAGCCCGATCCATTGCTTTTGTTGTTATCGTGGCCCTGCCAGCAACCCAGTCCGCTCGTTCATTCCAATCTTACCCCAGAGGGTACTGTCTCAGGTGAGATTTCCTTAGAGACTCAAATCCCTTTTTTTAAAATCCATTTTGTCTCTATTGTGTCTGTAAAAAAAAGTAAGTAAATTAATAATAATTTAAAAAAAAATTGTTTACTCCATATAATGCTAAAATGTTATTTATATTGACCAATCGGCACTTAGTCGCACCAGGACTAAAGTGATAAACTATAACCAAGGGGTGAGTAAACGTCACACGGGTAACGTTTACCTTCCATGAGGGAGACCTAAGAAATACCAGCAGACTGGAGAGAAGGATATCTTGTGAAACTGCCCCAAAACGGCGATCTACAGGAGTGTGAAAACTATAGAGGAATTATGTTGCTGTCAGTTCCTGGAAAAATATTGAGTAGAATTATTTTGGAAAGATTAAAAGACGCTATTGAAAAAAAAGCTAAGAGATGAACAAGCAGGTTTTCGGTCAAACAGACCCTGTACTGACCAGATAGCCACATTACGTTTCATAATAGAGCAAAGCATTGAACTGAACTCACCACTCTACATTGGATTTATAGATTATGAAAAAGAATTTGACAGCATTGTTAGGGAATCTCTCTGGAAATTGATGGGGCACTATGGAATCCTACAGAAAATTATTAACTTAGTTAAGGCAACATATAAAGACATGAAATGTCGAGTTCTTCATGAGGGAAAACTAACAGATACATTTGAAATAAAAACAGGTGTGCGACAGGGATGTCTTTTGTCACCTCTCTTATTTTTACTGACTATAGACTGGATTATGCAAACAGTAACTGCTAATACCAAAAATAGAATTCAGGGACCCCTACAAAACAGCTTGATGATCTGGACTTCGCTGATGATATTGCCCTTCTGTCCCATTCACGGAATCAGATACAAGATAAATTAAATATACTTGATGCGAGATCACAGCAGCTTGGTCTGAAAATCCATAAGGAAAAGACAAACATAATAAGAATAAATCAGGCAAATATTAAAATAAGAATACAAAAGGCAAGAGGAGCTTTCATAGCACTAGGGAATTTGTGGAGGTCAAAAGAAATTAAAAGAAATACTAAACTAAAAATGTTTAATTCTAATGTCAAATCAGTACTATTGTATGGGGCTGAAACATGGAGAACAAATAAGGCAATTACTAATAAATTACAGACATTCATTAACTGGTGCCTTCGCAGAATAGAGGGAATTATATGGTATAACAGAATAACTAATGTAAAGCTTTGGGAGAGAACTAAACAGGTTCCAGTGGACCAAGAGGTGAGGAAAAGACGCTGGCATTGGATAGGACACACACTGAGAAAACAGGAGAACATCATAAATAGAATGTCTTTGCATTGGAACCGCCAGGGGTATAGGAATAAAGGAAGGCCAAAAACACATGGAGAAGAGAGCTAGAGAATGAAGTTAGAAAGATGGGGAGGACATGGGGAGAGCTCCATGTAATGGCGAAGGATAGAACGACTTGGTGTGAGTTGTTTGAAGGCCTATGCTCCATTGGGGGATAGAAAGGCAGAAGAAGAAGAATATGTCCTTTACAGAACGCCTTATCACAGCCCGTCTCGCCTTGTGGGTTCCATGGCCTCACTTAAAAAAAAAAAGGGGGGGGGGGAATGGAGAACAGATCTACTTTTACAGGGTGGAACAATATACCATGAAAGGGGACTACTTAGGCATGTTTTGTCGTTTGAAGTCTGAGCGCATCTGCCTTATATACGAGGAACCCACAGTCTGCATACACGTAAGCCAGATCTGTAAAACAGATGTGGATGTAGCATTCAAGTGTTGGTCAAGCTAAAATAACACCTTCCACCAGAGAATACAGCCCGTGAACGATCAGAAAAGACATAGAATATAGAAAGCTCGGCTTGTCGCCAGCTGTCTCATCCCATGCGTCAAAAGACATCCGTTTTCTAAATACAAAACTGAAGGGGGAGGAATGGGGGGGGGGGGGGAAGGGGCTGGGTCAAAGGTAAGATAGCAAAAGCCAGACAGCGATAGAGTTGGGATAATAAATCAAGAGATGGACGAACAGTAGTCTGTTAGAGACTTAGTTGAGGGAAGAAGGGTCTTTAAAAGACAGAGAAGATGGCGCTACACTGGAGAGGGAAACCAGCAGAGAATCACCAAACAGGCATTAAAGTGGGAAATAAAGGGATTAAAGAGGCGAGTAGGCCCAAGAGAAACCCTAAGACGAACGGTGATGAGAGAGGCCAAAGCTGCTGGACTGGATTCCATTCATGATATTGAACTGATCGCACAGGATAGAACTGGATAAAGAATAGATTGCCGGACCTGTGTGACAAACAATAGCACACCAGGATTAATTAATGAATTAATTAATTAATCTTACGGTTGCGAATGAGATGAGGAAACAAGGACGCCCAACAGAAATCCTTAGAGCAGCCGTTCTCATACTGCGGGTCGCGACCCTTGGGGGGGGGGGGGGGGTTGTCGAAGGACCCTTTCACAGGGGTTGCTTAAGAAAGACCAAAGAAAATCTTATATGCATTGAAGTTATGAAGGAGAATAATTGTCTGGGGGTCGTCACAACATGAGGGGACTGTATTAAACTAGGGTCGCGCATTACTGTGGTTCAGAGTCACTGTCTTAGAGAAACGTTGAAGAGAAGCCAAAAGTTTTTGACTGGATTCCATTCATGATATCAAACAGACTGAACGGCGTGATGGAACAAACTGCAAGACCTTAAACAAAACAGTGTGATGGTGATAATCATGAAGTTGACGATGATGGTGATGGCAGTTGAGAACTAACGATGATTACCGCAAAACACATTTTACACGCAATGAGACAAATCGCATAACCGTAATTCAATTAAACACAAAATAACACGTTTTACACTTACCAGTTAAGAAAATCTTTAACCAAAAATCAGAAATATATATTAATTTTTGCCAGCCAGAATCTGAGCGCTTGAATCAAACCGTGGATTGAAACACGCGCACAAGACAAGAGCAATTTGAACCGTCTTTGAACATCCAGTGACGTCGCTAGACGGGTGGTGGGAACTGTATATGTATGGGGTTATTCTAACGTCAAGTCAACCCTTTTACAGTCTCTCCCTTCATCACATTTCTCACCCTGGCTCCCCCTCACCCTTTCGTCCAGCTTTTTCACCACCCTGCAGTCAATCTGACACCTAGCAGGCGTGGCATTCATGGCTTCCGGGTAGACCCACAATAGCTGATAGGCTAACAATACCCAATACCCCAATAAGCCCCCAATACCCCATCTTTTGGATCGGCTGTCAAGGTAATGGTTATACAATGTGTCAAGGCCACTGTGAGGTGTAGGTTGGCGTTTGTACACACATTCCGTCTCTCCGAGTAAGGAGTTCTGATCTGTTTACCAGCTCCACTGTAATCTCAGCATGTCCTTAAATGTGGGCCGAATGTGCCTGGTCTGATTGTAAAATCGAAATAAGATATACGCGTAACAAAATTACAGGGGATGGGGATAACAAAAAAAAAGGGGGGGGGGAGGGTGGGGGGTATTAGAAAAACGTGTCTCTCTAGAACACAAACTCTCAGTGAAAGTTTACAATGACAACTAATTAAACACGGAAAAGTCGAACATTGGAAAATTTACAATGACAACTAATTAAACACGGAAAAGTCGAACATTGGAAACCTAACTCAAAAGCAGTGAAAAAATAAATTTTCAAAAAGCATCGAAGTCAACAGAATGTATATTAGAAGTGGTATGGGAAAAATATAGCACCCTACTACTTTAAAGGGGAGAAAAATGAAGATAGGTAGTATCACCAAATACAGCTATATGATTTTTTCTGGAAATTTTTGAGGTTTTTAAGTCGGAATAAGCTCCAGCACAGTGCACAGGATCTGTAGCACCGGCGGGGATCCTAAAATACTTTGGGTAGATGTTTAACTCAAAATTTTGCCCGGGTAGCCGTTAGGCTACTAGTTTCGATTTCCAACTGCAAAGGGATTTTCTACGTGCGGTACAATGTACATACACAGCCGTCAGATCTCACTACCAGAGACCAGGGGAAAAAGGAGGGGGTGGGGGGGGGGGTTGGGGGGGGGGTGGGGGGGGCTTAATAGAAGTCCAAGTTTACGTGAAAAAAAAATCCCAGCCCTTACTGGGGATTAAACCCGGAACCTCAGGCACTCGAGGCGGACACCAGGCCTTGAGATCACGCAGCCCCCTGGCTATAACCGAAATATTCACATAACTAACGACACCAATTATAACCTTTCTTGAGGTTGAACAGGGTAATCTATGTAGCAAACATGGTCTATTTACATCTCGACTCTTTCAGCTGCATTTATTCGCCATTGTGGT